AGTGGGAATGGATCCTGCTGAGGCTCTTCTCCCTCAGCTGAGGTAGAGGGCTTGCACCTAGGCTGTTAATTTATGCCAAAGTATAAATAATTACATTACTTCATTTTCTCTCAAATATCTTCCCCTTAGAAGATGTACAGAACTATGTAGCTTCTTCCCTGATATACACAGATGTTTTTATGGACTTGCAAGGGCCACTGGCTGATGTAGCCACGTATTAGAGGGGTCTCTTGTTGGGTGAATGCCTACAGAATTAAAAGATAAAATTCTCCAGGATAGTTTTGGATGCTTTAAAAAAATTTTCTGCAGATACTAATGGGATGCGTGAATGTGTGAACTAGGACTGCAAATAAAGACCTTTCAGATTAGTAGCCATTTCTATTCCATTTTTTTCAGTTTGTGGAAAAAAACCCTGTATTTTATCCTATGAACTGTTTATTGTTTGATGCAGCCAAACCTGTTGACCTTGAGGAGGCAGCCACAGCAGCCTTCCCTGAACAGAGTGAGGGGCAGAATCAGATCTCTGGGACCAACCCAGCAAACAGCCTGAGCAAAGGTCTGCTCTGCAGAAAGCAGCTTGGCCAACAGCATCATCTCCAAGGAAGGAAAACAAAACTTTGCTGATTAACAGTCTTTGGGGCTTCTGCAAAACCAAGAAATGACAGGGAGACTGGAAAGATGGAAAAAATGAGTCTAAAACAAAAAACAAGTTAGGGATGTGTCTGAAAAATGAGTAAAACCAGTGAGCCAGGGTGCTCCTAATGAAAGATTTGGGACAGAAAGAAGTGTTATAGTCTTAGGCATTCACTTTTCAGGGTGTGGTTCCTTTTGAGAAAATAGGATTTAAAAAATTGTTACTCTAAACTAAGTATTAGCACAGACTGTACTTTCATATTAGGAGTGAAACAGGAATTCAGATATTAAAACTGTTCTTCTTATCAAATGCTTAATAATATCTCCGCTGTACTTAAAGCAGTAAAGAATATGAGTTTGGATTAATTTATTCACAAAAGTCTTCTTGCTGATATGCCCAGAACCACCCACAGGAATGCAAGACTGGAAGCTGACTTCTGGAGTCCCCAAGATCAGGACCTCCATCAGGATAAATCTTGTCATAAATTGATAAGTTCTGTCTAAAAATAGACAAGATTCATGCCTCTGTTGCTGTGGCGAAAGGCAGCCCCAGGTCCCCTCTCTCTGGTTGCTGGAAGGCATCCAGCTTCCAGATAGCGAACATCCCTGACCAGCCCTTGCCTGCTCATGTGAGAGAAAAGGGAAAATAACTCTCTTTCAGAAGAGAATAAACATCAGGTTTAAAACACAGAAGGGAGACTGGGATTTGGCCTTTGCTGTTGATGAAGTTGCAGTTGCCTGATGTGAAGGAGGTATGGGTAGATAATTAATCTGCAGTGAAGCTGGTTGCAGGGAAGCTATTAACAGATCACTTGGTTGATGAGAAACAGTGGCTCTGTGACAACATTTGGTTTGGCTGGTGAGGATTCATTTATGCAAATGACATGGAGCCTGTTTGTTGTTCATTTACAGAAACATCAGCTTCTGCTCCATATCAAAAGGCAAAAAAGACATTCCCTTGCATTTTTCATGTAATATTTAATTTTTTGGTGTATGACATGTCAAAGGCTTTTAAAAAGTTACTGTTTATTTCTACAAATAAGTGTTAATTAGCAAAGCTTTTTTTTAAGTTTATATAAGCCTTGATACAAATTTAGTAACTTTAACATGAGGAATAATAATTTTATTTCCTTTCTTGTTTTTCAAAGTTCAAATCATATGTGAAATCCAAAGCTTCTTTTATTTTTTTTTAAACTGGTTTTAAACTCCCAAAATTCCAAATTGACATTAAAATAACATTATCAAAATTATTTAAAAGTAGGTACGGAAAATCACAGTGTGCAACGGAAGTTTTAAAACTGTACTATCTATGTTTTTCATGCTTAGAAATTCTATACAGTATATTTTACATAGTTATCTGTAATGAATTGCACCAGAAATTTCCTGTAAAATTAACTACTAGTTCAGTTTCAACCTTTTGGTGAGTTTATATGGCAACACTAATACAGCCATTGAAAACTTCAGCTTTTCCTAGTATTTTGTAATTTTAAATTTTTGTAACATTAATGTTACAGTTAATACAGTTTTTTCTTCATTTGGGCTCCTGAATTGGGGTGAATTTCTGTCACAGAGAAGCACAAGGAAAGAGAGCATACTGACATTCACAAAATCTGTCTACGCCTCAGCTTCTCTAACACTGGAGATACATCATATCTGAAGTTTGCATCAATCCCTGAGAAACAGACAGCTACTTTCAAGTTTGCTTCCACATCCCCACTTGCCCGATTTCCAGCACAGCCTAGGTCCAGGGTTTTGACTCAAGCTCATTTCTTAATATTTAGCTAATTTAAATGCTAATTAGACTAATTTGATGAATAAAATGTGGTAGGAATTCATTAACAACTTTGCTGCTATTGCTTTATGTCTACAGAGAAATTTTCTAAAACAGGACTCCCGGGACAGTAGCGCATCTGTTACCAGTTGAACAAGTTGGACCTTTTTTGTAATACTAAACCTTAGAGTTGGTAATATATTGCAGAATTGCAGAGGAGATGGAGGAGTGGTTTTAAATTTTCCAGATCTAGCCCATCTTGGACATAGGCCACTAACGAAAAAGGGGCCTTATGCTGTCCTGGGCCCATTTCCTTCATGGGTTTTGCTCCGAGTTTTATAAACAGAGAAAGAGAACGTGCCTTCTCTCTGTCTCTCATTACCTCCTGTGCTTGTTCCAGCTGATATTACTGTTGTTCTGCCTGACATTATTGCTGCCTGTACAAAGAACTCACACGATTCACCTCAAATCTGATACTGTGGACAGAGCTTCATGGTTTTGTTGAGACCCATGAACCAGATTTGAACCAGAGCTTCATGGTTTTGTTGAGACCCATGAAGTCAGTGAGGCTCCACTGAGGTAGAGCAGATGGAAAAATGAATGAGATTATATCTTTGGAAGACCAGTCTTGGGTTGTTCGGGGGGGTTTTTTTGTGTGTATGTGTTTAACTTTGGCTTTTGGTTTGGTTTTGGTTGCTTGGGTTTTTGGGTGGATTTTGTTTTGTTTTTCCTTTTTTTTTTCTGCAACGTGCAGTTGACACAGTCAAAAAGGTACTTAGGCACATGTCAAATTTTGAAGGTGTGACTTTGAATCTGTTCACAAGAAAAGTTGCTGTTAATCTTAATTAGGTGACTGAACCTTAGCCTGAAAAATACAGAAAATAAGACCAATGGATAACTTCTATGGGACTTTATAAGCAACGAAAAAGGTTTCTCTAAAATGAGAGAGCCTTTCTGCAGAGCTAGCAGGTGGCTGTGTTACTGCAGTGTATGTCACAGCTGACTTTCTCTTAAATTAACCTAGGTAGCACTGATGAAGAAACTTTGTTTCCTTTCATGCATATAGACAACCACCCTCACAGTGGAATACCTTTTCTGCACTACACTATTATTATTTAATGCTGGCTGTCTGCTAGGAACATATAGTGTGTCCTTCTCTGAATAAAGAAGGCTGCTGCAGGAACTGCAATGCAGTCAGAAGTGAAAGGGTCCCACACAGAAGCCTGTCAACAGACTGTATTGTAATGCAAATGAAACCCCGACCACTTTTCACAGGGAAAGTAAATTTTCCCTGTAAATCTGACAAGTAATTAGCTGTTCAACTGTAAATACCTTTTCTCTGGGATTGAGCTCTGGAGTTTGTTTCACTCTAAGTCAGCAGTGTTTATGCTGGGCCACCACGTCTGATTTCTACCCCATTAACTTCCCTGTGCCATCTTAAATCAAAGTTAGACCTTCTGAGAACTGGTGGCACTGCAAATTATGAACTGGCTGTATCTCAATGAATCCAGTTTATTTGTCAATAAGTGCGTGTGTCTCACGATACTGAGCTTTTCCTAGTCTTCCAGTGTTTCTCAGCCACAATTTACCTGGAGAAGGAAGGGGTGAAAATATTTTCTATCTGGTGTGTTGCCTGGGACTCATGGCTGAGACTGACTATGAGGAAAGCACTGATGATAAAAGTTTGATGCCATAGGGATGTTTGTATAACCTTTACTGGAAGAAAGCAGAAACTCATGTTGCCTTTTCCAAGTTCTGTATGACCTGAATGCACTACAAGAAACAGAAAAGATCTTATAGAGTGACAACAAGTAAAAGTATGTTTAGCTTAAAAAGATTCTATTTTGGACTCTGATTTCCTGCTGTGGCAGCTACCAGTGACTAGTTTAATTTGTGTATAGAGCAGCAGCCCCAACAGGGTCATCTAAAAAATCCTCCAAATCTGGGGGAAATATGGATTGAAGTCCCTCCCTGCTAAAGTTTTAATGTGATACTCAAAGTGGAATACATCATTAAGGAAACTCCAAAGCCTGTAAGCATCTCTCTGATAATAAATATAATTAAAGTATGACTTTTAAATCCACATACGTATTTATATACTTAATACTCCTTAAAAAAAACCAACACAACAGATCAGTGGCCAATAGAAAACTAAGTATCATTGTGGATCTGGGTGTTGCTATTTCTTACCTGGAGTTTTCCACCTGTAAATATTACTCTGTCTCACAAAGGACCCAAAAAGATAAATATGTTACAGATAGTGAGTGATGTGCTGAAGTGTAGCAGTGGTGGAAACCATGCAAACATAATGAAAAGGGAACAGGATGGAATGTAAAGGAGGTCATCTCTATAAAGAGTAACATTTATCACTGAAAAAGCTCTGATTCAGTTTACCACTATTTTAATTTGTTTCTGCATTCATAGGGGTTTTGTTTGGTTTGGTTGTTTGTTTGGGTTTTTGGGGTTTTTTTTTGTTTTTCTTTTTTTGTGTGTGTGTGTGTTTTTGTTTGTTTCCTTTGTTTAAACTTTTGTTCCTGGATGCTAGAAGTGAATGTAATTAAGTTTACAAGTATTTCAAATCAGGGTCAGTACTCACTTCTACATGTTGACAGGTCTGAATGAGTTTCGCCAAGAGAGTTTCCAGTTCAGTATTCCTCTTAATAAGGCTGGTGAGGTTACTTTCCAAATTTTGCTGTCAAAAAGAAAGAAAATAACACATTAGCATTTTGAAGAATTTAATGTTTAGGTGAACAGTTGGAGAATGTATATGTTGTATTGAATTTTGTAATTACACAGGCATGAACTTAAGACTTTCATTTTGTTACGCTCCATTAGATGTTTTGTCTGTGCATTAAGTATGGCAAGACAAGAGAGCAGAACAGCTCAAGATAAGAGTGAGTTCTAGAAAACAAAGTTTCTAAGGACCTACGAAAAACTAGGTTAAGGAGTTAGTTTTAGTCAGGGGTCAAAAAAAGGAGTAAGGTAAAAAGCAGGGAAGGCAAAAACATTTCACAAAAAAAACCTGGTTTATTTTGGCTGAGAACTCTTTTCAAGTCCTTATTTCCTGCCCTCAGTCTAACACCTGAATTTAAAAGCCTGCTGCTAACTGAAGTCTTCAAGCATGTGCCCCTTTGGGACTGTACTTGTAAGCTCCCAGTAGATGTGTCAGCACTTTCTTCTTCAGATTCACAGTGCTGGGGGGGATTGATCTAATTGATTTGATTCCTAAGGTCAGTAGAGTTGTATATTTAAATAAATAATTCTAAAGAAAACACTCCTTACTACACATAAGAATGAAATATCTACTCACAGACTGTGCCTTCACTAATTGTTCTTAACAGAGAACCTGTGGTTTGTGTCTGTGTTTATCAACTGATTAGGGCCACCAGAAATACCAGCAAGTGTGGGAACCCTGAGTCCTTTCCAGCTTCCAGATATGAGGCTGCATCCTGGCCATTGTAATACAATTGCATGTGAGACTGAAATCTAGAAACAAATGTTCCAGCCTTCCTTCTCCCCTCCATATCCACAGGAAGGAAATGAAGGTGCATGAGGAGGAGAAGGTCTGTGATGGCTTGAGACCCACTCCCTGGTCTGACCACATGAGGACCAGGATGCTGCAGAGCACCATGAAACCTGCAACTACCAGCTCCTTGCTCTTTACTATACATGCCATGATAGCTGCTATTTTACATGAATTTCCATCTTCTGGAAGCGCATGGGCATGAAGAAGCCCTTGGTTTTACATGAAATGCAAAGTTTCCATAGAGATAAAAAGGCCTTGCACATATAACTTGAGTGCATAAAAAAAAAAAAAAAAAGAAGAAAAAAACCCCAAGTCATTAGAAGACTCCTGACTGTAAACATTCATTTATTTCAGTAACTTCAGGGATATTTATTTCATTTTGAAAATCCTGGGGACTGCTGCTGTGACAAGCAGTTCCTCGTAGTTATTCACCTATGTAAATGTGTGAGATTAGTCCCTTGCTTAGTGTGCCTGACAGGATGACAGTCCCTGCCTTTTAATTGTACTTTAATCTTGGAGCAGCCCTCCGAGTATCTTGGAAGTACTGAACAAGAATACCAGAACTGGGCCCTGTGCTTCTCTCCTCACAAAGGCAGTGGTGTCTCTGCAGAGCTCTCATTAATTTCATCCCTCCTCATCTTTTATTAATGGCTTCTTCACACTATTACTTCCCCCTCCCCCCCCCCAATATATCTATTACATCGCTTAAGTCATTTCAGTTAGTGTTAATTCACCTGACTTTTCTCATCCTTTCTTTCCTCTTCCACTCTTACCACCTCCATGCCTGTAATTAATGAGTGCGTGTGCATGTGTGTTTTCTGGTGCTGTTACTCCCTGCCTATTTCAAACGTTTTGTTCCTTGTCCTCCCTTTCTGCTGCCATGCCATTCTTACTCAGAATCAGAATGGTTTAGGTTGGAAGGGACCTTAAAGATCATCTACTTCCACCCCCCCTGCCAGGGGCAGGGACACCTCCCACTAGATCAGGTTGTTGCAAATGAATGAAGTATTCCACTGTTGCACCATACATTCTCTGGCAGACACTGGAGGAGCAGTCAGTCCTGCTCCATTAAAGACAGCGTAGGATTTTGATCGCTTTACATATATAACCCTTCTGAGAAGCGTGATGGGTGTTTGAAGTATGTAATTTTGGCATTTTCTTCCCAGCACAAGCACGTGTATCGTGTATCACAAGCTCTGGCTGCAAAAATATCTTCTACACTGCATTCATTTTATAGCCCATTAAAACAATGAGTAACAAGAACGAGCATTCTTTATTGAACAGTTTGAGCTATATCTCGTATTTCTATAAACTATACTGTGAACAATCATTTAATTGCAAAGGCATGTTTGCTGTGCTGTAAGATGTCCCTCTGTAGAGCTGAGACTCACACACAAAGTCAAAATACTATATATAGTTACCATATCAGATAACATATTTCTTTGAAAACCAGTTTGTTAAGGGGGTCCAAATGCGTAAATACTTTTGAAATTATATACCTTCTTATTGCACATATATTAATTTTGTGCATGTTCTAGTATTTTATACATCAAAAAGTAAAATACATATGTAATTATTAATTAAGATTGCCTAATTTCAAATGTACTACTGGACAAAATATATTCCAACAGTTGGAACCTACTATGAATGTTCTTAAAGCTATTATAGAATACTGCAGTGATTTTAAATAACATGAAAGTGTCTTCAACCAAGGCCATTAATGTATGAAGAGTATTTTTCTCTGAAACAAAAACTTATTACCTATAGATTATTACATCCAGGATATTTTCGAATTCTGCATACAGAACAACATTTTAGAATAAGTTCTCTATCTAGAGAATATAAACATACACCCATATATAATTTTATGGCTTCACACAGGTCTCTCGATATCCACTGCAGTTCCAAATTATGAAAATGGAGGATAACTATTAATCAAGTGAGTTGCCTTACAAAAACTAAATTGAAGGTATTCCTGTGCTCTAGCTCCTTGATCTCTGACATTTTAAAACTGGAAAGGCTAGAGTTTTGTTTCCTTGTAGTTTGGTATGCAAGAGATTGGGGTCTTTTTAAGTCAAGACAGATCAGATTTTTTATAAACTTCTGTTGAAGAACATTAATTTATATAAGTGCATTACTAAACAGCAAGAACTTGGCAGCTGCTTTCTGAAATTAATACCAATCTTTTCAGTTTCACTCAGGCAATTACTGAACAGCAGCTCTTAAAACTGGCATGACTTGAAAGTTTTAAAGGTCATAAAACTCGATCAGTTATTGCAGTATGTTTACCCAGATTTTCTCTTGGCCATATCTTCCTTTAGTTATTTGCTGTATTCCATTCCCATACAGACCACGGCATCATTTTGGTTATCACATGAGAGTATGTGCCAGAAGTAGAGTCCAAGCTCTGCAGTCTTTCTTTGCTCTGTTTACAGGGAGCTAGAAAAGGCCTGAAAGACTTTAAATTTCAGAAGTACATTCTGAACTGTCACAAGTTCATTTCACACGCACACCTGAAAATTCCCAGGTTGTGTAAAACTTCAACCCCAATTTTGGAGCTCTGACCATGTTTAAAAATTGATCCAGTGCCATAACCCAAATTCCTGCTATAGTGAACTGCAGCCAGTTTTTAAGTCTGAAGAAATCGTGCTTTTGGATTATGATGAGTATATGTGAAAATGAGTGGTAGAATAAGCTTATTCAAAGTATCTTCCTTCTTCCCACATAATCTACTGTTTTTCTCTCAGGTGAACAATATTGCAACTGTATTTTTATAAATGTTCTAGATAAATCATAATTTATTTAACACTTCCACCTGCCTTTCCTTACCTTTTTTTTTTTTTTTTTTGGCACTTGCCAATTTTCATCCTTACCTGTCTATTAAAAACTGATCTTAGAAACACAGGGGCTGGTTTTCAAAAGGACAATAGTTACTGTGCATTTGCTGTGAACTCTTTCCATGCATGCTAACTCAGTGGATGCAAACTGCTCGCAAAAAACAAAAGCCAAAAAACAAATGTTTCCTGACTTATCAATGCAGACTGAGCCCAAGATCTTGACATTCTATGAGTGCTTTGCAACTGTTTGTATTATAGCCAGTATAAAGTGAAAAAAATGCTAACTGTCCATTTAGCATGGTCTGACAACTATACAACATAAATATTCCTATAATCTTGGGATAAATCCAAGTAGATGGAATCACAGACATGTAATTGAAAAAGACAGTTGAGGATGATGTTTCATTTTGACTCTGCATGCCTAAAAAAATTATATGATCCAGGGACTGGAGTCTGAAGTTGGAAAAATGAATGCTAAAAATTAGAGGAAGGCAACTCAGAATTGGATGCTTTCTTTAAGTTGCTGTCTAAACTCACACTGAAGTCATGATCATGTGGCAGTAACGACTGCGTGAGGCTTGTGCCCTGATTGAAGTGGGAGGTCAGACTACATGATCATAATGGTCTCTTCTGGCCTTTAAATCTATCAGTCTATGAAAACCAAATGTGAACCCATGCCCTTTACCAAATTAACAGTCTCACGCAAAGCATTGCTTGTCTAAAATAGGAAGGTAGCACAAACAGATAGTCCTAAGCTACTATATGGGTTGAAAATGCTGTCAAAATAAATTAATGTCAGCTTCTTAAGAAAAAAATGCTGACCTGTTTGCTCCTGCCTTGCGACAAAGCAAAGAAAACAGCAACATCCCAGACATATTCTTTTCAGAAGCATTTTCCTGGTCAGTAAAAAATGTCTACTCCAAGGGCCACAAGACAAAACATACAGCTACCAGCTACAATAAGATTTAGAATTCCATATGAAGGCACTGTATTTTTCTCACAAAAAATATTTAAAATACTCTTTTTTCTTGCCATTGTTAAGTGTAAGTACACATTTGTATTTTCCACTCAGTGCTTACTGGAAGATTTTGAGAACCAATCCACTGAAACTAGATAACGCATTGAGGGACAATACTTTATAACACCAGTCTTGCTCACCATCCCTGATCAAATCCATCATGATCAAAGCCCTCTGGCAGCAAAAATTGACATCAATTTGCATTTCCTTTGCTCCTGGTGCAGAACTAACCAGGGTAAGGCATATTTTCAGGCGATCTCCTAGTTCAAAAAATAAAACAACTTTGGAGAGCCTTCTGGGGTTAGTAGAGC